CAGAAAAATATGAGGTTAAATGAAGAAGGCAATTTTCGAATAGTAGTTTTAAAATAAAAATTCAATAAAACCGCTAAAAACCATTCAAAACTATGCGAGGAAATAGCGCAACCGCCAGGTGCAAAATAGATTTAGAATTTACTTCTTAATGTTGGAGACATGGGGAGATTATTACAAGGAAATATTTTTCCAATGTGGAAGAAAGTAAAATGAAGATAATCCTGAGAAACTTGGACCAATAAAAATGATTCACATTTACAATACGGAACAAAAATCCGAATTCCGGAAATTGAATAAGAATACAGTTTTGGCAAAATAAAAAAGTGATAAAAAATGAGGATTAAACGGTTAATGGTTTTTTTAAGAAAGGGTTTCAAGTTTAAACTACGCGATCTTCTAACAGGATCAAATAACTTTAATTTGTAAAGTATTAATGTTTTATGTCTGAATAGAATGAGTCTTGCAGGCGTTTTGTTCGTTTCCCGAAGAAATAACACCGTTTTTGTATAATAAAATGATAAAATGGAGACCGGCAATTAGGAGAACAAAACCTTTTTTCACGCTTGCAAAAATATCGTTACAGAATCTGTGAGAAATTGCATGAAATTATTACCTATGATGTAATAAATACGAACGCTAGAGAAAAAATCTAGATACAGAGGAATCTTACGAAAGATAAGAATAGTGAGTAATTTAGTTAAGCAATTAAGAAAACTGGGATTTACGAAACAACTGGTAAAAGTAACAAAGTACAAAATCAAATTGAAAATGCAAATCAGGAAATAATATCATTGCAGAATCACTGCAGAAAAGCGAAATGATACGTAAACAACAGTGAAAGTACAATATTGTAAATAAGCAGACACTAGTAACAACAACGCACTTTTAAGTGCAAAATAAATAAATGAATAAAACTTTGTTTTCCACCGCTTCTTACTAAGGCAAAAAAATGATTAAAACACAGAGAAATCAAGCCAAAATTGATATTTAGCTTTCGTAAGGAATCATAAAGAATATATTCAATAATGGATAACTTTCAACGCTACAATTCTGAGTTCCAGGCCTATTTTACATAATTGTTCAATATCTTAGGGCGGAAAGTAAAAAAACTGAACTTCCTAAACTCAATTTTTACCAGCAATAAATTACAACGCCAACTATGCTGTTGCTGGGTATTCATTAATCTAGTGATGTTGCCCAAAAATAGTTCTTATTCTGCCGTTACAATATTCACATTCTTCATTTGTTGGCTTATTTTTACTCTTAATACAGTTCATTTAATATTATTTACTTGTTTGCTTCCACTTTTTTTGCGTTCTCATTACTGACACGATATTATCTTGTATGAATTATCGGATTTTTCGCACTAAAATTCTTCCCAAACCATCCAACTTCTTCGCCACATTCATTTCAGCTTTTCGCTATTAATCTGACTTGAAACATCAGTTTAACCAACCTGAATCGTTCTCATTGAGTAAGCTTTGAAACGTATTGTCCATCATCAAAAGCAAGAACATTAAATTGAAGAACGTCCCCAATTTTTATCCTTCAGGCGATTTAAGGCGCTTTTCTCCTCTCCTGACACACTCTGGATTCGTAAAGTACTGCACATAAATCATGCATTTTAACAAGATATAAAGAAGTGTATTCGACCATGGGCCCAACCAAATGGTGATAGAGCACTATTTTTGACTAGAGCCGTTGCAATTGAGGGCTGCAAAAAATTGATTGCCAGGTTCGCCTCGAAGCTCAAAAGTCAAACGGGCTTTAATCCGTCTGGAAATCTAATTACGTGTTTCGAGAACGCGCTGCCGCAGAATTTACCAATTTGTAAACAGAAGGTTGATTTATTTATGTTAAGAAAGCTGGCTTCCTGCAGATTTTGATTCAAGTGAAACGTGTGCATTAAAATTAAGCGATTTATTATAGTCGAAGGTTATGTTATATGACATGCAAGTAAGGAGCTTAGTTGGAAAACTCGACCGTCACTCCAGTCGAAAAAATGTAGCGAAAATTGTGGAAAAGTGGAAATTAATGCAATGTTCAATGCAGTAATAACGTTTTTATTTTAAAAAACTTTGCGTTTGTTTATTTTGGAATTATCAAGTAAATCTACACGTTTAACTGAGAGGAGATAAGGAAACAGCACTCATGTCTATATTGCTAATAATTTATTAAAACAATGTGCGATAAAAAGATCATTCTCAGGGGTAGGTAATAATCATTAATCGATTCACTTGCGTGACAACAGCATATTGCGGTACTTTTTCCAGAAATGAGCAAACGATTAATTAACTGGAAATACTTCAACATCCATGCAGTAATATAAATGTCAGTCCATATTAGCTGCAGCAATTCAATTATCTTGATAATCATTAATTGATAGAGCCATTAATGTTAAGTTAGATCAATCACAAGATTGCCCATGTAGTAATTCGGATAGTGTACTGATTGTGATCAGGGTGTTCAAATTTGAATGCCAAATTGCGCTTAAAGACTCAGAAAGTTTGGGGAATTAAAGATTTTAAAGTTATCTGAAGATTGCAACAATCCAAATACTAAATTTGTTTTAATATTTTCAATAAGTAATCGGTTTTCAGAGCGCTTCAATGCATTTTCGCTCATTTTTCTGAAATACTAAAAATTTTGCTTCTGTCACTTATATAAAAGGAAAATGTGGAAAATTTACGTTGCCGCAATTTTTAACTGATTTTTCTCTCTATTCTGCAGATTTGTATCTGCTGCAATTATCGCTTATGTATGTTGAGAACTTCTTTATTTGGTCTTCGTCATGTCGATTAGAGAAAGTTCATCTTAAAGCGTCTTTGGAATAGACGCGTATAGAGAATATTCCTCAAATAAAAACAATAAACAAAGTCAAACAAGCAGAAGACAATAAAATTTATATTTTAATGTTTTGCCTGAAACATCAGCTTGTCCTTGTAACACAAAAGTAGTTTGGTATAAAGAACAGCAAATAATAGACCTAATTTCCTCTTGTTGCAGGTTTCACTCTGGGGGGAAATCATTTACAACTTTTCATGGAGTGCATGTCGCCAACGATTTCCATCAACAAGAAAAGGAAATACAGCGAAAATATTTTCATTAGAATAAACTTTTCAGCGGGAACTTTTATCTGGATATTATCTGAGGCAAGATGCTAACGGCGTTTACATTTAGGACACTTTTCTAAATCGATGTTTTGCATAGGAAAGGTTATTTTTGAGTACTTTTTCAAATCTGCTTAAAAACACGTTTATTGATTCATAAATAATTTCATGAACAGCTCAGGCAGAATTATTTCAAATCTATCAGGTAAAAATCAGTACAATAACGTAATATTTGTTGTTGGGACTTCGTCAATATATGTTTCCTGAGTAGCAAGAAAGTTTGAAAGTGACCCTTAAAGCATCTATAATGGCTAACAAAATAGATCATTTTTTCCCTTAACAAAATTTGATGAAAAGTACATTATGTTGAAAACTGAAATTAAAAAGAAGACAAATTAGTATTATTATCTAAAATCGTATAAACTTTATACGTAAAAAAATTATATAAAGTTTCACGTGTGCACAAGCAGAAATTTCCAACATCTGTGAAGAAATAATCAACTTAGAGAAAAAAATTATACCCTTTTTAAACTGCTTCTCTGCAATAAACACAATGCAATCACTGTATAATGAAATAGAAATTGAACGAAATACGATGAAATTAGCACTAAGTACATTAGAATTAAATTAGTTGTTGACCGAAATATATTAACAAAGAAGAGGAAAAAAAGAGAAAATTCAACTGACCTCAAAGACAACAAAGGAAAAAGTAGGAACTGAAGAAATAGCAGATAAAATAATTATAAAGAGAACAAAGGGCTTCTCTTGAATGAGGCAGGCGAAGCTGGATGAAACAAAACATTAGCATAGAACATTCTCGGTATTAATAACACTGAAGACATGAAAGAAAGATAGCATTGAACGTCATGGCATTGGAAATAAATATTTGAAGCAATACGAAATTAGAACAAAATATATGAAAATTAGACAAAATATGCATATATAACGCCTGAATAAAGCTAAAAAATGCAATTAAAAGTTATTCTTTATTCTTATTAGGTTAGTAAGTTTCTCTTTATTCTTTATGATTATTCTAGCTAACGGAAATCTAGTTTGGAAAAGATGGACAAGAAAAATTTAGAAAACAAAATACCCCACTTACTAGAAAATCTGTTGAACAACGTTCTTTTTACTGAAGGCAAAAGTTTTAAAATTGAAATTGCAATTTGTAGGAATGAATCGCCGAGAAAGAAATATTTAGGATTGAAGTTGAGAACAGATTAAAGTAAAAAGCCCAAGCTGCTCCTGCAAAACTGTTTGAAATTGAACACCTACATTAAATCAAAAACGAGGGTTGCAAAAAATACAAGAAACGAACCAATAGAAAGCAAAGAATAAATATAAAGAAGGAAAAGCAGTCGTAAATTGAGAAAACAGATACAAAATTGGTTCATCATTAGTGCGAAATGGAAAATCACCATCGTAGTGACGCTGAAAGGAATCAAACGAAGACTATTTCGTAAATGTTAAAAAAAATCGTCCCAAAGACATCATTTGTATACTTGATACCAAAATGCTATCAAGGTTGTTAGAAACAATCAGAATATCCAATTTGGTTCAAAGCATTTCTAAATTAATCCATTCAAATGGTGCGTATGGTGGATCTTTCAGAGATCCAGATGGTGAGCTCTCATTACTTTATTTCATAACAACATTTTGTTTATTTTAAAAAACAGAACAACTATTTTATTGGCGTCTTTAGTATTTCAGAATTTAGAAACTCTAGAAACTCATATTCCTGATATCGAGGTGAACTAAATAAATTTGACCGAATCTTGACAAAATGTAGACGAAACTCTGTTTCCAAAGAGCAAATTTTTGATTCGTTTGTAGAATAACCCATAAGATATTGACTTCTGGACCAAGTAGTCCTATCCAGCAGAACGTACAGTGCGGGCATCTTTAGTCGGCTTGCAAAGCTTATCATATCACTAATGTCATTGGATCTCAGCTGTTTAGTTAAGGGGTTAATCGAGTTAGGTGAATATAGGTTGAGACTGACTGTCGAGATAAAGTCTTTGCTGTCCTTTTCTAAATTTGGAACTGGCCAATAACAGGTACAGAGCTGCAACTTTGATAGTTTTAGCTTCACCTTTGCTTAATTTTGATGCCAAATATGAATTCCAGCGATGAATCAAGGGCAAGCTGCTATTATCTAATTGAAAAGTGACCTGACCTCAGTTGGGATCAATTCGGTTAGAAATTTCTTCATAAATATGGCAAAAAATATTGTTATTAACAGAAAAAATTATCAGTAAAAAAATAAAGCTGTCACTGGCTTTACTAGCTAATTAAGTAAATATAACTAGCATGTAGGTACAAGCTGATGTACTTATATTAGATAGGTGGGTATATGATTTACGAGTAATTACTTTGATCCTTTTATGAGAACCATTAATGACTCGTTATCTTCATTCAATCAAATATTGTTTAGTGCATTTACATCTGCAGATCAATATACAGGAGCAGATAATAAGTTTAATAAACATTGTTGCTTCGTAAATTAGCTATCGGAAGTGTTTATACTGTAGTTTGTTTATATGAGCGACTAGGGGAGCCGAAATAGATTGATACCAAGTATAAGTGCAGGTGCTTTTAGTTTAATTAATATTTTGGTGTTAGACTGGGTGTGTTTCTCCTGAACTTTTGCTAGTGAGCATGTTGAAACATCAAACGTATGTACTATCGTGACTGAAACATTTATTTAATTTTTAATTGCTCATTGGTGCTGCTACTAATTTAAATTTAGATTAGGTAATTTGATATCAGGCATAAAATGCTCATAGTTCAAGTTCCACTTATATTAGTAAAGTCATGTTTTTATAAAACGCTGTTAATATATTATATTAAGTAATAGCGGACGAACCAAATTACTTATACGCCATTGTTTTTTAGTTAGAAGAAACGGCAATAAAAATTATTTTTATAATTTTATTTTCCTTTATTTTTAGGCTGTACTGTATAATATATGTTCTATATTTTGAACAAGGCAGTTGGGAAAGTTCTAGTTGTGCCTTGAGCGCCGCAAATATTTCAATTTTAATTATTTTAACTCATGCTTTTTCATGTCGATACCATTCGAGTATCATTTGCTTGAAATGACTCGATGAAATCGATTTTCAAATCTCGCCTCAATCAAGTATAAAGAACGAGAATTAATCTGAAAGGTGTTTATGTATAAAATTGCCCCACATATCAACTGAGTGCACTTTAAAGTTGAAAATAATGAATACAATTTTTGATTTAATTTTAAAAGATGAAAAATAAAATCGTCAAGGCACAAACAAAACCAAAGTTATATTACAAGCAAATTTAAAGTCTTGTGTCTTCTATAAATTATGTTTTATGTGCGTTTCCATAACGAATTGTAGTCAGTTCGAAACGATTTGAATAGTTTAAAATTGTTCAATTTTCATACGTGCTGATTTCGTCATTTATTTCCATACACTTTTTAAACATTTTTCCTACGCATTTTAATATACGTTTTAGGTCGTTTTTCTATCCGATTTTCTTCGTTGGTTCAATCGAGATATTGGTAGAGCTCATATTTTGTATGCAGAAATCATCAGACTTCTTCATAAGTTTTTCTTCTTTCTTTCCCACTTGGGTATTTTTTATTTTGATTAATTTTTAACGAATTTATAAGATTTGTCAGATGAACAAAGTCAACAAAACTTCTTAAAAGGCCACGAATTTTTTGAATTTTCAAAATTTTCTGATAGTTCTGATAGTTCTGATATTCAAACTTTATTTGTATAAGTAGTGAAATATGTAGTTTCATGTCACTGCTTAAACATCGAGTTTTTCTACAATTTTTTAATTTTGACCGGAAAAGATATTTCTTTTCAAAATTTTCGTCATTACGTTCCTGTAGAATATCGGGACATTTCAACTACTGACTTTTTTACGCCCCAATAATGATTCTGTTGTGATAGTGATGTGTTTAAAAGCCCAAAATCGAAAACACCACTTGCGTAAAAAGGGAAGGGTAAAATAAGACGGACTAGAAGGCTACTCAATTTCCAAAAATAGCCATTTATTATAAAATATTTTCGACATCATTAAATTATTTTAGCAAGATTTAAATGAAAATTTTTAAAACTCTTGAAATGTTTCTAATTGGAAGTAATTTTACAAGCGGTTAAATGTTTCATGATCTGAGTTAAATCGCAGTATCAATTTTATGAGGATGTTTAATGCGACTTTCCAGAACGGTTTATTTAACTTTGATCAGTTGAAACCGCACTAAAAATACAGTTAAAAAATCGTTAAACTCTAACGAAAAGCCTGTTCTGCCGTTCCCATCAATGACAAAAATTAAATTGATCGGTTGATTTATAAGAAAAATTATCAAGCTGGCAGAACCGTAGAACAGTGAAGCTTGAAGCATTTTACCCCGTACATTTTGCATAATTATTTTGAGCCAGTGATTAATTGTTTCAATTATACCCGATTTTCGATGCAAACAAACTGAATTTTCTAATCCTATTTTTATTTTAGTTACACGAAAATGAATCAATACTTCCTGGGTATCGACATTGGAACCACTTCAGTGAAAACTTGCATAATAAACACAAAGGACCATACAGTGGAAGCTCAGCATGGCAAAGATACCCAGTCCAATATACCGAGTGATACCGGACCTGGCGGTAACAAACAGGACGTTTCCACCATTATTTCAGCAGTGAATATGTGCGTCGCCAAGCTACCAAAGCAATTACTGCAAAAAGTAGGTAAAGTATTCCAAAATATGTGATCCCATTCCTTTGTCCCTCAATCAGCGAGATCCCATTGAAACTATTGGGATAAATTTAAAAAATCTGGAGAAACGCTGTAAATAAATCGGCTTCAATAGATGTGGATAAACCGCAGAAGAAAAATGTATATTTTTAAAGTCGTAAATTCGTAGCTGTTAACAAGCAAAATAAACTAGAAAGTTTATGCTTTGTGTATGGTAAGCTGATTTTATGGGAATTTAAGCAACCGATTATCTGGACCTGAATGTGTAGTTTATGTAATCCAAATGCCACTTTCTGAAGCAATTAATTGCGAATTTCAGGTCAGCAGAATTGGAATTTGTGGTCAAATGCATGGGGTCATGTTGTGGAAAAGTGAGCCAGAAGACCGAGCCTGGGAAATTGTCGGCAAAGAGAAAAGCGTTAGATTCGATGTCAAGAAAAACAAAGTTTCCGCTCTGTACACTTGGCAGGATAATCGTTGTGATCCTGCATTTTTGGCCACTCTTCCTGACCCCCAAAGCCACTTGAAAATAGCTACCGGATTTGGATGTGCCACTTTGTTCTGGATGGTAAGAAACAAGTAAGTCAGCTACACTTCAGTCGATTACACTAGTAACCTTCTACATAAGAATGGGGTTTTCAGACCAGAAAAACTTCAGAAATTCAATTGCGCCGGGACTATTACCGATTTTGCAATTGCCATTTTATGCGACTTGGATAAACCAGTAATGTCGAATCAAAATGCGGCTTCTTGGGGCTACTTCAACTGCAAGTTGAACGCGTGGAACTCAGATATTCTGGAAAAGGCAGAATTTCCCGTCCAAATGCTACCAGAAATTCGGGATTCTCGTCAAACTGCCGGCAATTTAGTCGATAGCTGGCATGGTATTCCCAAAGGAACTCCTATTGGTTAGTTGCAGTTTTCCAGGTGTTTTTGCACAAATTTGCTAATTTTTTACACAAATATTCAGTAAAATTCTTCAACTTGTTCCAGGACTGGGATATGGTGATATCCAGTGTGCGGTCTTATCGACACTGGAAAACCCTTCAGACGCCGTTCTGAATATATCAACTTCAGCTCAGATCACTTTTGTAGCTGAGAACTATCAGCCTCCCGATCAGCCTGCCAGTTCTTCTATCGAGTATTTTCCTTATTTCCAAAACCAGTACATAGCTATTGCTGCTTCTTTGAATGGTGGCAATAGTTTAGCGACTTTTATAAAAATGTTACAACAATGGACTTTGGAATTGGGATTCAGTGTACCACAATGTAAGTATAGTTGATCCGATGTTAGTCCTTGAAGCGGTAAGAAGCCAGTTGGAGAAAATGGAAAATGTGGAACTTTAAGGCATGCGATAATCAACCGGCTTGATAAATCGCCAATGAGCTCCAAACATTTTTTTTAACTCAGCTTGGAAACGGCATACTTAAATGCACGCACGAAGAGTGTCGCATAAAACAGCATAAAAAAATAATGGCAGATTTCTGTGGTAAAAATAATGCAATTTCACAATTTGTCAACGCAACAAGTCAACGGAAACAGAAAAATAGGGCGGTAAAAATTGTTTTTTTTAATGATCTTTTCCAAATAACTTGCTGGACAACAACAACTGGAATTTTTTCCTAAACTTAGATATTCGAGGGTGACAATTTTGATTAGCAACTCAGTTTTAAGGTAATTACTTTCCAGGAAAAATGTGTGGTTTTACCAGTTTTTTCATCGGCTGCATACTCAAGGAACGAAATATCCACATAAAAGCTGTGAAAAACGTACGAGTCGAAGCCATTTAATTTTTAAAATACCTACCTTCGATTTCGGAAATATTATTTTTAATGGTTTTTTACTCTTTATGCAATGAACGCAATCTAACAGAAATTGAAAACAGATTTTTAATTATTGGATTAAAACATTCTCTTTGGCTGCAAAATGCTTCTGAAAACTTAGTGCCTGCAATTTGCAAACTCGTTTGGAATCCTGATGAATTTTTATAAATTTTTGCTCAAATTATGGATGAAAACTTTCAGAATCCTGTGTGCGCCTTTCCTCCAATATAAATCATAATTTAAGCAGACGCTTCAGAAATCAAGATTCTGAAAATACAGTTGTAGAGATCGAATCAGTTTACTTGTGCTACTGACTGAAAATCTTAAAAAATATTCCTATTGTCCTTGGAACCATTTTTCATTCGTCTAAACTGCTCAACAAAATCAACGTTACACTGACAAATTTGGGCTAACTTTGAAACTGGACTTAGAGCGAATTGATTTTTGTTTCAAGTGTAATTTGGTGCAATTCTTTTTTGACCCGTGCATATTTTCGATAAAAATTCGGGTAATAAAACAATGAAAAATTGGTCAAAATTATTCTCAGGTGAACAAAAAAGTTTCTTTATATTTGGCGACGTCAAGCACCGAATTGGAGCTTACATTTCGAAAAATAAATATAAAATTTTCACTCATTTTACTTATTTACAGAGTGGTCTTAAAACAGTCAACTTTTTCGTGTTACAGTGATGTGTTTTTCTCTTGAACCAAGTTTTAAAATCTAGGAATTTTGTTAAGGCTAAAATTTCAGGGTGGCCTCGAAATACTATATCAAGCACTAGGTTGCATAAATGCACGAAATATATTTAAATAATTATTCTAAAGAGTACCATACATTTTAGAGCAGAAAACCACTAGAAAAAAGAACTAAAAAGTAGATTTTTTGAGAAAACCCAGTAAATAAAAGAGAGCCGAAAAATGTAATCGCTATTTCGAGTTATTAGGTTTACCTTCAAACTTTCGGTGTTGGGACCCAAACAACCTTTTTTGCCCTACTGGGAGCATGCCAAACGTCGCATTTTTCCATCTGCCACCCTCTAGAAAATGTACCTGAGATGCTCAATTTTCATTAAAACTCTAGCAGGAAGCAGCTGGTGCTGAACAGAAAGCAAATACCTTGATGCAATCAGAAGTTAACCACTCCCAAAGCCAGGACAAATTTAGCTGTGTATCTTTCATTTTGTTGAACAGTTTATTTTCGACTCAATTCAATCGAAATTAAAATTATGCCTTGAAGACCTAGGAATTTTAAATGCTGCCGGATACAAAGTATCTTAAAACAGTTGGATATGTTGCTTTTGTAGCGAAAGTCTGGGAAAAAGTACTTGCATTAAGCCAAGACGACAATGCGATATCAGATCTTCAAATAACGCCCACCTGCTTAGGAGAACGACATGCTCCAGACGCTAGCGCTTCAATGCGTAATATCCATGTAGGTAATTTAGGATTAGGACAAGTCTTCCGAGCGCTTTGCAGAGGATTGTTAGAGAATTTGCACAGGTATGAACTGCTTTATTTACGCAAAACCCCCCAAGCAAAGCATGCGTTCATTTGCCAGAATACCCAATACCTAAATCCCTCTATTTTAGCATGATGCCTAAAAAAATTCTCCAAGAAGCGAAAATCACACGCATTGTGGGTAATGGGTCGGGTTTATCGAGAAACAGTGTGCTTCAGAAGGAAGTTCAGCATCTGTATCAACTGCCCTTAGTATTCACTAAGGGCGGAGATGCTGCAAAGGGCGCTGCAATGGCAGTGGCTCTAATAGATCAAATTAATTAGACAATTTAAACGGAGTTTTATTTAAAAATGTGGACCAGAATTTCGGGATGGTAAACCCACAATGATGGTGGAACTTTTTTCCACTTTAGCCCAAAAAGACGCATCACATAAATTTGTAGTTTGGATTAGATGCAATTCGAGTACTTTTAACGACTTTGTCTTTGTCTTTTACGAAGATATTTAAAAAATATTTTTTGGTTTACTTTACGGGATGCCCCAAAACTAGTGATAAACAACATCAAGCAGCAACAATCTATAAATATCGGTTTTTCTACCTTCAAATATGATCATCACATAATGTCGCATTTTGGAGCTCAATAAAAGAATGTCTTAATTTTTTAAATAGTTTATTCCAAAATAACCTACATTCACATTTTTGTAGTGAAATTCAAATTTTTCATGATTCCAAGTTGGTTGGCGCATTTTCAGCTCTCCTTTAGTGGCCTTTTTATATTTTCGAGTGTTTTTTATTTTACTGAGGATATTGGAATCTCTTCATATCAAAGCTTTAGTATGGCGTTTAACGACTATTACGAAATTGAGGCTTTTATTTCGAAAACAGGAAGCGATTTGAATTAAAGCAAAATCTATCCAAATCAGGGGCGAGCCAAATAAAAAGCATTCTCATATTCTACTTAATTTTGCCTTTCCGGCACAAAAAATTCACAACAGTTTGAAAACAAATTTCTATCTTTCTTTAATGAGCCAATGTTTTTAAGCAAACTGTTGGAAAGTTCTCATAACAAGTTGATGCAAAAAGTAAACATTTTTTTCAGTTTTGTCCATTAGTTTTGGGACTCTGTGGAAAATATTGTCACATTATCTAAAAAAATTCAGCCTTCTAATCGCAAATAATCAATTCTTCATTATTGGGTAGAATGGGCCATCTACTGAAAAAGTTCCAGATGATTTAATTTATTCAGCGTCTCTTATCTGATGTTTTTATATTTGTTTTTCGTTTGCCTGTTAATATTTAATTAGCGACTGTTAAGGGATATTGAAAAGGGATGTTTTTTCGACTGTGATTGTGTGAGATTTAACGTTTCAATCAGTCGTCTGGAATTCCTTAGTAATATTAGTGTTTAGCGTTAATTACTAGTGATGCATTTACAGGGTTGTTGTTGTTATTTACCACGAAATTTAGCACAATGTACAATGTGTGAATTTATTACATAATCCTGCTGCTTCAGGGTAACTAACTAATCATTGAACTGCGTATTTCAATAATTATTATGGCAGCTAGACCATTAAAGCTAGAACGAGGAGGCACAATTAATGTTTGCGCTTCTCTGCCATCTCATGCAGTTAGTAGTTAGGCTTGGTAGATCTTATTAGTGTTTCCCGTTAATTAATAACAGCGTTCCAATCAATTTTCATTTCTACCTCGCGGTGCCAAAACAATCTCCGGACTTTTGTTCGAATCATCGGGAAAAACTTTTCACATATGTCTTTCATCGAGCTTTTCCAATCGATCGGCCATAAAAGCGCACGTGATTTTATAATGGTCCAGATAAAAGTTTAGAAAAACCCGACACAATAGCCGGATAAAACATCGAATTTAAACGGCTAACGCTCTGGATTTGCGTCATTAAGGGCCGAGAGTATTTCCGAGAACGGGTTAAAAACCTTATTTATTAACGCCTTAAATTACAAACGTTGTTATTGTTGTGTAGTTGTGTAGATCATCCCAATGCTTTAATATATTGTTCTCTATTTGTTTACATATTGTTTTTATTTCGTAACTGTTTTGTTTGTACATTTGTTTGCCAAAATTGGGTAGATAAAACAGAGCTTTACACGCTTAAGCGTTTGTCGTGTAACAAAAGCTCCTGGGATAGTTCAGAATACACTCCACTATCTAATGGTATTGTCCAGGGTGATATGTTTTAAACTTCGCAGGTACCTCAACACATAAATGGAGAATTATTTATCCTTTATTTTATTTATTATGTTATATTAGCCTGAATATAACACTCCTGAAACTCGCACTTTATTTATTATTATAGTATAGTGTATTATATTTGACCGATAGCGAAAGCTACATTGTTCATTTATACAAGATGTTGACTAATTTTGTTTTTAAATCTATGCTTGGATAATACAGTTTATCCAGGATTCTTCTTGATTTCGATGCAAATTGCTATTTTCATAAAAGCATCTTAAAATTATTTTTTATTTGGGTTTCGGGCTTAAAAGTCTAATCTAAGCAAAATTACTTCGAAAATATTCTTCTATATGGAAATACTTTTTAGCATGTGTTATTTTTGCAATTTATTATTTTGTTAATTATTCGATCGAGCATAATTAGAATCTCAGTAGATTTTTGTAAAAATCGAATTTTTCATAAAATCTTTATACAATAGTTGTCATCAATTAAAAAAACTTTTCTTGTCAGCTTTAGCTAACTTTACGTGAAGAAATTCGAACAAAATATTTCAATATTTGGAAGAAAGTGTTTTTCTTACTTAGAGTTTCAATTAAAATTACTTTTTAACATTATTACATTAATTACTTAACAATACCTTGCATACATATTTACAAATTTACGTCCACTTGAACATCCCGTATATGCAGGGTCGCTGGTCCTCAACTAATGTGATAAAATTTGTTGTTTATGCAAAAATAATGAGTTTTAGGCAAATGCTCTTTATTCCAAAGTTTAAATAGTTTGCGAGGTACATAGCGTGAAAATAAAATTTGTCAATTTTTTAAAAATAGATTCTTAACAAGTTGTAATTTTATTTAAAAAACGTGTTTGTGGTTTTTCAGGGGAGAGCTATTAAACACATCATATTTTTTCGTCTTTTAAAATATAGCTTTTCTGTCGGCAATAGCTCGTTCTCCGAAATTTCCTAATCAAAGACCTAAGTCGATATCTCTCACTATTTTCGAGATTTTTCACATTTAATTGAATTCTAGTATTTTTTTAAACTCGTGTCAAATAACTTTGAACAAAATGCTTCCTGAATTAAAAAATTTTTGCTCGAATTTTCAATGAAACAACACTTTATTTATTTAGACACGTTAAGAACTATTTCAAACTACTTGTTAAACTCAGTCAAGTGTTTGAAAATTGTTATTTCATAATAAGTTTCACACTGGTCTGCACTGACTTCAAGACATTTATTAACCCTTTCAATAAATAATTGTATTGAAAAAATTAATTGTTGTTTCGGTCTAATGTACTATTAAAAAAATTCTTACGCATAAACAGAAGCCATATAGCACATTTCTTCATTCCAAAATGAGTTAAATTGGGCCATTTTTAATAAATTCAATGTAATAATGGAAGTTAAAACATTTCTTTTAGCTCTTAACTGACCGAAAACTGACAGTAAAACAAACTTACTCCATGAACAACTTTAAAAATGTTAACTAGACTTTTATGGAACCAATTTGAGTTAATTTGAAAAAGCACTAGAGGTTTCAAAGTGAAATATCTCCACAACGGTGACAGAAGTGTGAATAAAGTTCGCATTTTTTTACTAAAAGTATGCACTATTTTTAACTCAGAAATGTATTACTTTTTCCCATTTTTTTTGTCATTTTTTTTTTGGTCAGAGTAAAACTGGTTAAGAACCTATTGAAAAAACTAAAATTGTGTTTACTCTGTAACACCCTGTACCTCAACATTATTTCAGCTTAAACAAATTTACTTAAAACGCAATATTTCAGTAAGCTTTGTCACATTAGTTGAGAACCACCCTGTACAAACTGTACGCTACATTTTTCATTGCAACTTTCCCGTATTTTTGTTTTCTCTGAAATTAAAACATGTATGGGTTGCAATCTCCATTGAAATTTATTGTATGGATGCCTCCTGAGGGACACATTGTCCCCAAAAAGGTTTCCTGTGGGAGAACTATGAGCTGATTTATGCAATGTAGTGCATTTAATGTGCAAACTCTATAGGTGATTTAATAAACTCGTTTTATATGCTTTGAGTGGGATTTTGTGATGAAATGTGGCAATTTTCATTGGATGAAACCATAGTTTTGACCTCTGATTAATGGAAAATGGGGCGATTTCCTGGCTCACAATGGGCTAATACGAGAGGAGATTTATTTTTCAGATGCGAGAAGAAGAATCCGAGGATTAACTTAAAGACACTGATTGAAAATAGGCTAATGTGGGTAGTTTGGAAATACGCCAAAGTGTGTTAGGAATTAGTGGTGATAAAAGAACTGCCAGCTTGTGAAATGAAAACACTGTTTTGCAATTTTACAGAAAAGCTTTAGTAAAGCGCTAAGAATGAAAAATTTTCTCCACTGCTTTGGCGGAGTTGTCCTTTCATCTGGTAGATAAATTTCTGCTCAACAGCTGCATGAACAAGGTTATTAAATTTTCTTTCGCAAAAGGGAAGTGCCTGGTATAAAAACATGTGTTCATTCATAATCAATCAAGCTTTCCCTAAACAGTGGGAAGCCTGATAGGTTTTTCATCGCCTGTATACAATGCTGAGGCCTCAAAGTTATCCTGATGGCGTGTCTTGCGCACACCTTTTTGTCCTGTGAGCGGTGTTGGGTGAAACGTGCCAGCAGGAGCCAGTTGTTGCTTTCCTGCTTAAACGTACACGCTAAGAATGGTCACCAAATTGGCTCAGAATTCGTAAATTTTCGAACTTGTGTTGCTTCATCTTGTTGCGCTTCGCGGTCGGTCTTCCGTGAATTATGGAATGGATCACTTCAGTAGATAAAAGGTATCATTTATTGGTTTTTGATCATTTTTCTGTTAACTGTTTTTGGGCCTGTAGATGATTGTAATTCACATTTCCAGTTTTTTTTACAATGCACAATAAATAAAACTTAAAGGAACCGAAGCAGTAATCGGATTCTAAAAGTCACTGAACTCAGTTTTTAACACGATTCCATTGAAACATGCGTTGAAAAGAAAGTATTTTTGAAAATAACTGAAAATCGAACAGCAGCAAACAGTTCACTCATTCCCAGATTTGTCCTGAAATGCCGAGATTCAAACTTGAAACAAACAATACCTTTGGAAGCAATTCGGGGCTTGAGGATTGACTGTTGTAATGCGCTGTTGGAGCAAGATAAAGCTGTATAGTTTGCAAGTACTATTGTGCTAGCAACTTGTACGTATTGATTAATGTTTGTGTGTTTTACTTATTTTATTAATTACACGGCAGTTTGATTATGGACCTTAAGACTTTTTGTATGGATCGACTAATGGAAATTACCATTAAATTAATTAAATCACGATTGCTTCCTGCTGATAAAGTAAGAGACAGCCAACGAAAAAATTAATTTGTCATTTGTTAGTTTATAATGCTGATCCTAATAGCCCTAAAAGATGTTTTAGCTAAAAAATAACAACATATCTTTCAAGCTTTTTCAAAGCTTCTTTCAATTGCAACGACGGCAATCAACCGGTTACAGAAGCGGAAAACATTTATCTACTTTAAGACAATGATGGTAAACGTGGGCATACACTGATAGAACTTGTTTCAAGTCTGTTGTATATTAAAACCGATAAGACAACGTTCAAAACCGTCGTCGGCACGTGTTCAGGTAAAACACATGGAAAGACCTCAGGGTGCACGATTTCCAATCCAGTTCGGAGTTGATGGATTAAAATTAGAGACCCAAGCGGGGCCCGATTTGCAAACTTGCCCCCAAGGTGAGCAAAACATTCGATTCGAAAAATAAGCTGACAGTATAGTTATCGGAGATATGAGAACAATGACCCTCATTTTTCAGAGCTGCTGATGTTAAACAATTCGAAGTTCTTCGAACTTGAGGCAAAGTTGAAACGTAGTTAAGTATATTTCAGCAAGTAGTCAGTTAAGGTTGGAATTTTTTTAGCTTTCATGTGTGCTTCAGAAAGTGACGACGACTCCACTTGAGAATTATAAAGTGAACATTTAAACTTTCGATCGGTTTATGCAACTATTCTCGGGCAGCCCAAATGCTTCTTAAATTGTGTTTTAGTCCAAATACCCACTTTTGCTTTTAACCTAAACCCAACAGCAGATCTACGGAAGTCTGGTAAGATGAGCGCGCGTAATTTATTAATTGAAATTGAACTTTGTCGCCACAATAAAAAAATAACTAATTCACGCTTCACATTCATTTATCGGTAATTGGAAATTTAGTCAAGTGCAGGAAAAACTGGTAAATTTAATTGCTGAACAATGAATTAACGTTTGCTAGGGTTTGGATAGGTGCATAATAAAATGTATTCAAGTTAAACAGTTGGCAATTAACAAATACGCCTGGCTTCAACGGAAAGCGTTGTTTTAGTATAAAACTGAAAAGTATCTCAGTTCAGATGTTTCACCTAAAAAATAAATTCAACGAAACGTTTCGGAGGCGTAGTTTAGTTTTAAAATGCCAACGGCATTTGCGAGTCAGACAAGAAAACTGCGAAAAGTTTTGCTTGAAAATGGGACGCGTAAGGAAAGTTCGTAATTTTTTATTGCACAGTATCTTGGTATTCTGGACTATTCTTGAATTCTATTAATTTAAGCCAGGTGATTTTAATAAAATATACTTAGTTTCGAGAATAACGAGAAAAGTTGCCAAAGTTTTCTTGTATTTTTTAATGCTTATCAAGTTTAGAACTTCGTCGACGTTAAGCATGTTTTCCACTCACATTCGTAAGGAAAAATTGAGATTTTTTAAAAATATAATGGAACACAGTACATTGTAAACGGGATGTTTTCATAAAGTTTTGCCTTGTAGAAACTTGCCTAATTAATGCTTCAAATGAAAAATGCCAATATTTTAATTAATAATAATAATAATAATTTTTCATATTTGCTGCTAATTATTTTTATAAGATTTTTAGTCCTCCAATTATAATTTTCGGACAAAACACACCAAAAACTCTGTTACTAGATAATCTGAAGAGAAATCCATAACGGAATAAATGCTGAACAAAACTGAATACTTTTATCATGTACAAATATAGAGAAACTTGTGATGTAGAATATAAAGATCAACATTAGGCACCCAAAGACTTGCCAGATAAAGTTTTCTTTGTAAAACTAAGCAAATGATAAGAAAATTTGATGAGAAAGTGATTTACAATTACTAAAAACTTAGAGTTTAAGTGGAATGAGGATATAGCGGATATTAATTTCGAGAAGGAAATATGTCGAAAAAATGCATCAGACTACTAAAGGAATTGGGCAAACGCTTATAAACATTGAGATTAAAAATAAAGCATTTAACATTTGCCGATGACACCATGTCGATTGCAAACAAAAATCGAAGCAAAAATGATCGGGAGATTTAATTTAACGGCTGTTAGAAAGTTTAGCTGTTTATTGTAACGAATCTAATAAGAGGGTTCAGAAATATTATATAAATTATGTGGATTAATTCAAAAAATAGTGCAAATAAAGTCTAAGTAGCACAGCAAATAATGAAATGTTGCAAAAGGTCGCGAAATTCTCTTACTCCGCTACATAATGAAAACAGCACTTGAGTTTACTCTCCAGAATATCGCTTTATTTTTTAATTGGTTCTTTTTGTTAAACTCACTTACTGCGTTCCCGTAGTTGTACTCGTTCCTGTAATTTGAGCAAAAAAATAACTAATCCATATTCAAAACGGCTCTAATACATTAATCAAAGATGAGCCTAAGTTAATATTTCATTCAGATTCTCAAAGTGGCATTGAAGTTTCCATTTTGACCCGAACGCTACTGCATTAGTGGTCAATTAGCTGATTAGATGCATCAATGCAAGGCTTGAAAGCTTGCAATTGATTTGAAATCAAGGCAGACTTGAAATGGCGTAATAGATTTATTCAAAATGAGTCTGGCCTGTATAGTAAACGTAATTAGTTAACCTGTGCATATTTTCGATTTTACCTAATTAATTTAATTTGTGAGCCATGAATTATGTGCGTTAGTGAATACTTCTATTATTCAGAGTTTTCATGTTACAAAACAGTGAATTAATTTGAACACATAATAATGAAATTGGAGTGGTTTTCATGTCTTTAAGATTGCAATATTACAGGGAGTTTCCGCCTGAAAAATTAATCAAATAAAAACTTTGCGCACCAGTTTAGTTTTAAAATGCACGGCCGTATTTTCCTGTTATAGGAATTGAACATGCAAGGCATAAAAAAGTGACTGAATTTTTATGGCCGGCCATCTGTGCCTTCTAGGTCATTATATTAATTTTATACCAGGTAATATTAATAAAATATAGGTACATGCCTTCGAGTTTAACGAGAAAAGTTCTTCAAGAAAATTCTTAAGGTTAAAAAGTTATGAATTCCTGGACGCTCAACTCATGCGGGCCTCACGTTGGAGAACAAACACATCAGAACTTAAATGTTATTTCAGAATAGAATAATCTAAGTTCTACAGAAAATTAGTTATGGTAGCAAATCTCAGAAATGTTTGCTATACCTGCAGGCTTTGTTCCAAATTAATCCTTGCTTTAATTTTTAACCAGAGACAAAGTGCAAACAGAAAAGCGCTTTGAAGCTACCCGAATGGCAAGCATAACCCAACAAAATGGTAGCCTGTTGTTGAGTTTGCTTCTTCCCGTTCTGTAGCTGAGTTCCATTCCTGATTAATTAGAATGCATATTTAGCTGCCTTACACACTTAAAAGGAATTTCCATTGCGTCTCCCAGAGCCTAATTGGACAACAACAATGCAAAATAAACCAAGAAAGTTTCAGTAGCTGAAACTTATCGTTCTCTACCATTTTGTTTCATTGAAAGTATATTTGTTTCTTGTTCTAATTAAATACCAACATTGGAAATGTTTGAAATATCAGAGGAGTGTTCCTTAAATGTGTAATTTGGGTTGTTTACAGATAACTTCAGCCACTAATGTTAGATGAGACTGTTGCCGAATTACGCAAATCTATGGCCCACGTAGAAGGATTTAATTAACTAAGTTTACCCCTGGAATAATAAACCAAGCATTAGGAAAATTAATTAGGAAACAACAAAGCAAAAATCGGTGGCTTGACGCCTGCAAAGTCACAAGGCATCATAAATTTAATAGCAATGAATTAAATGGGCTTGAAATTCCTACTGAATGGATGATCAAACGGGGTTTTCTGATTATAATGGAGCCAGACTTTTGAAAAACGTCACAACAGTTTTCTGAGTGGGTGCAGTTCGAACACAACCGAACATTTTCATGGTTGGCTTAATTCATATTTAATTAGGGCTATTCTTGGCTTTATTTAGATCGGAAACGTTTGGGAAAGAGTTGTATTAGAACAGGTCCATGTCAAACACACAATTTGGTCGACGCAAAACTCGCCTAACTCAATTAAAACCAACGAGGAGCTCGTTTGATGGCCTGAATTAGGTAATTTAGTTCGAGGCTCCAGGCTAATAAACAAAAGCGGTTTGCAATTGTGCCTTTCCTCGTTCGGGAAATTAAAAATAATTGTTTCGTTTCCCTGTAAATGCAAACGTGCATTTTAACCACTGGGTAAATACGTCGAAGTTTAATTTTAATAAAATATCAAGATGGCAGTATCTTTCAGGTAATGCAAAGAACGTGGATGAACTCATAGAATTGAACTTCAATAATCTGGACCGAATCTAATGTGAAGGCAGAGTTTAAATCGAACAGTCAGCATTGGCTAGACGAATGTGACATTTTGAATATATTGCCGTTTTTCCCATTTCGGCCGCCACATGGAGTGAATATTTAAGGAGCCATATTGTCGCTGCACGCCTTTAAAATTGGCAAGTTT